TTTCTGCAAGTTAAATGCGTACAAATGTTGTTTACAAAGAGCAACCCCTAGACTTTCTTGCTCATACTTCTCGGGGGAATCTGCCTTACGAATGAGCGATAGAGTTTAACCAATGTGACGATTTCTAGTGTAATATTGCTTTTTATTTAAGAATATAGTACTTATGTCTAAATCCAAGATGGCGGACACAATTTACGAAAAAAAATGCAATATGTGCAATATCGAAAATGATACCCATATAGCATTTTTTTGAAAAATCATGCCCGCCATCTTGGATTTAGAAATGAGTGACATGTTTGTAATGAGCACCCCGAAATACCTCGAAAACTATACCCATATTGCATTTATTTGAAAACTCGTGTCCGCCATCTTGGATTTAGAAATAAATGCTATATTTGTAATGAGCACCCCCAAATACCTTGAAAACGATACCCAACTTGCCATTATTCGAAAAATCGTGCCCGCCATCTTGGATTTAGAAATGAGTGCCATATTCGCAATGAGCACCTCGAATACCTCGAAAATTATTCCCATATTGCATTTATTTGAAAAGTCGTGTCCGTCATCGTGTATTCAGATATAAATGTCATTTCCATAAGGATTACCAGAAAATAAATTTTTGAAAATTCTTGTCACTTGACATTGTAGATCGACAGAACCGAGCATATCTGTAGGCACCTGATCGACATTGTCGATCGACAGTAACGATCGACAAAATCGAGCACATTTGTAGGCACCTGATCGACAATGTTGGGCAAATCTGTAGGCACCTTTAACTTAATGATGAGTTAAGCAAGATACGATTTCCCCACTTTTGAGGGAAATGTTATTCCATGGCATCATTATTTGTATATTTGTGTGCGTGCCGACGAGCGTAGATACAAGTTGCTTACGCCTACATGAATTTGGTTTTTGCCTCACTTGTGACAGTTCGTTTGATATGAAACTATCATTCTATGCGTTATTATTCTAAGGTTCGAAACATGTCGAGCAAAAATTCGAATTAAATACGTGAGTTATCCGTTATTTTTGTTAATACATCTGAGTTTCACGGTGGTTTTCTATTTAAAAGGAAACTGACTTCTTACATTTCGTATTAAGGAAGGATTAATCGATATCCACGGACGTCATACTGATCAACGCCATCTGGATATGAAGACGCAATTTTGACCTTTTTCAGAGTTACGAGCAGTTTGGAGGGTAGCAGTCTTCTCGAGTTATCGGTCCGTGCCGTGTAAGAAAAGTAAACTCGAACTTATCTCCTGGTAGAATCACGGTATCCTTGAAGTTCGCGATCGAATATTCAATTTTAATAAACAGTCTTACTCGCGCCGAGGTCGTTCCGAAGCCGACAGCGCGTGTCAGTGCGAGTTACACCCAAGAAATGTACAGACCACTTCAAGGTAGCCGGAGTAGACGGCGATCGGCAGCGCGTATCGTGTGACGTTGGTCTGCAGCGTGAGCGCGGCGTCGAGCGACAGCTGCTCGTCCAAACGGCGCAGGCGCAGCCGGGCCACGGCGCGGCCGCGGCCCGCGGGCACCACGCCCTCCCACAAGTCGCTCACCTACGGGCAAGAACGGTCACCCCTGTACTGCCGGCCGAGAAGCGAGCGGCGGGACGGGCGGAGGCGAGGGCTCACGACGAAGTGCTCGGCGACGGCGGGCGGCACGACGAGCGGCGACACGCGCAGCGGCAGCGCGAACTCGTTGGTGAGCCACACCTCGCGCTCCTGCAGCGCCTGCTCGCGCGACGCCGTCACCACGCTGCACAGAGCGGACGGTCAGCGGCCGCGGGAGGGGGCGGCGGGGGCGGGGCGGGCGCGGCGGCCTACCGGATGTCGGCGGGGCTGAGGCGCGCGGTGCCGGGCAGCAGCCGCACGGAGTACTGCAGCGCGGCGCCGCCCAGGCGCAGCCAGCCGCCGCACCAGCCGCCCGCCGCCGCGCCGCCGGGCGCCCGGCCCAGCGCCTCGCCCAGCTTGCCGTCTGCGACAGCGCGACCCACTCGTTACGGGCTCCGAGCGACGCTCCCGCTGCGACGGGGCTACTCACAGTCGAGCGTGAAGCGCGCCGTGGGCGTCAGCTCCTGGTAGGGCTCGATGAGGGGCCGCGTGATCGCGAGTCGCGCGCCCTCCGGCTTCGCGCCTGCCACCGACAGCGGTGCGTTAGATCGGGCGGGGGGGCCGAGGCCGGCGGGGGCCGCGGAAGGCGTACCGTTGGCGGCGTGCGGCGCGGCGGGCCGGTCGGGCGCGTCGGCGAAGGGGTCGGGCAGCGGCGCGGCCTGCGGCGAGCAGCGCGCCGCCCACACGCCGCCGTCGGCGCGCGCGCCGGCCCCGCCGCTGTTGCCCACCGAGATCTCCCACTGCCAACAGGCCGATAGCGTCAGACGCCTCGCCGCGCACCGCGCCGGCAGCCGCCCAGCGACGCTTACCGAGTCCGGAGGGTCATCGGTGCCGCGCGACGACAGGCGCAGCTGCAACGGCGCGACGTAGTGGCCGGCCGCCGCGGTGCGCGCCTCCACCGCCAGCAGCAGCGCCCCGCCGCCCCACTCGTCCTCCGTCACGTTTACTTTGATCCTGCAAGACGCCGCGCCGTCCGTGAGCCGCGCCCGCCGCGGTCCCCCGCGCCCGCGGCCCGCACCCACCTGACGTAGCCGGTGAGCGGGCTGGCGAGCGGCGCGTCGGCCGCCGGCTCGGGCGGCGAGGCGTACGCGTGCTCGGGCAGCGTGATGAGCATACGCACGACCTCGCGCGTGCCGTGCGGCGGCAGCAGCCAGGCGGCCTGCGGCGCCCGGGGCTCGCCCCCGGGCAGCCCCAGCCGCAGCCAGCCGGCCGACGAGTACACCTCCCGCACCTGCACCCACTCGGCCGTGGGGTTGGTGAGCTGCAGGTGCGCCTTCAGCGTGGCGTTGTGCGGCACGCGCAGCCCCACGAGCGGCCACAGCCCCCAGCCGCTGGGCGCGCCCGTCGCGCTCACGGGGTAGCGGTGCAAGCCGCGCGACGTGTGCAGGTACAGGTGCGCGCCCACGTAGCCCTCGCGCCGGCCCACGTACACCACGCGGAACGTCGCGTTTCCCTCCGGCGGCACGGACTGCGAAACCGGTACTTGCATTCGACACTTAGCACGAGCACAACGTTCGGTTCGACGACGACACGCTCGGACCTCACAGTGAGTGATGACCTTTTCAATTAATATTTTTATTTATTCATGGTAAACTATAACTACATGCTATAATATAACTAAAAAATTAATCAACAAATTTGTTTTGGAGTGTACATAGGAATAAACCGATTCCCTTTACGCTTGATTTCGAGTGCATTGGGAATATAATAGAATAATAGTGCAGAGCGCCAAGTGAGACAGCAACAATAACAATGATTTCACATCTCTGTCTCACTTACTCATTTATGTTATGATGAAAAAGCTGTTATCGAAATGATTACGTTTTAGCTTATGTTAATTACTTTGTACTTATGAACTATCATCGGAATGTTTTACGTACTAAAAAAAATAATTAAGTTATCATTTAATAAGAATTGAGGTTTTTGGCCTAGTTAAAAATGTGAAATCAAATTATTTACAATGATTGATTTTTTACTTATTTACTGTTTATTTAGAGTTACGTGGTACGGAGCAAGTGTTCAAAATGTCCACCGTTTCCCACAAAGCATAGTCTAGCACGTCGTAGTAAATTTTGTTTTAAATTGAACACAAACACATTTTGTCTCACAGTATACAATGCTGAGATAATCCTCTCATGCAACAACTTCGACACTGTTCACCTCCTCCGCGTAAACTCCAATTTGGGAACATATTAATAGCTCACCTCACACTATCACCACTTATTGCGTAAAGTCGCACCATCTCAATCAATTCGACGTTAGAATAAATATCCATTTTGCAGGCGAGTGGCGCGTTCGCCGCCGGCGCAGTGTTCGGGCGAGCGGAAGTACAAACAATGTACGTGTCTTCGCTAGGCCAAGGTCGCGCGTGCACTGTCTCTGCAAACAGTGCCGACCTGTAACCCTGAGTAACCCTGCCGCTGAGTAACCCTCTCGCTGTGGTAACTCGTGTTAAAGGCTTCAACATCTACTCTATTGGCCAGGTTATTGATATTGTTGCAAGCTCGCAGCAGAAACTAATTATTCCTGTAATTGGCTGAGACTACAGGTATGTCAAATACTTTGTTAACCCTAAAATTACGCCCGGGAGTCAAAAAGTTAAGTTTGTACAATAGTTTAGGACAATCAATTGTATTCTGAGTTATTTTTAAAATATATGTGCAATCGGCTATTTGACGACGCATATAAAGAAAAAGAATATGATGGATTTTGCAAATATGCAGATAATCTTCATTATGATATTGGCGTTTAGTAGTAGTATGTGTGTTACTATGATTACTGTTATCTGAAGTAAAATTAGGCTTCCTAAAATGGAATCTAATTTCCGGTTTGTATACGAATTCTGGTGCGAATAATTCACCAGAAGAAGCAGCTGAAGGCTCGCGGAACTGCTACAAACGAAACTGGACGTTTTCAAAATTACTGGATTACTAATAGGCGCAATTGATTAATTGATTTAATTTCAGTAGCAGAAGCTAAAGTGCTTACATAGCAAGGTCTGATATGCAGAATAATTTCGAGCGCATCCTTCTCAAGCAAAGGCTTAGACAACCGTCCAAACATACCAGACAAAATCGATAAATAGATTGTAATGTTTTCCGCTTCGCCCTGTGTTTTAGCACGAATCTCAGCTAACAAGCGGTAATGGTAATCCGATTTGTCAAAATCTTCTCTCAGATCTCAGAAGGATGGCAAGTTCGTCCCAAGAAGTTACACTACCCTTAACACTACGGAACCAATGACAGAAGCTTGGTGTCCGAAATGTTACGAGCTTCACTAAATTCGTTAACTCTCTGTATGAGCGAGCGCACCTAAGACTTCCCGTCGTACTTCAACCTACCTAATTCAGCAGGTGTCCTACCACTACCATTGCAAGTAACCGACACATGAACTGCTGTGGGCGCAGGTTTAGTTTTCACACGCTTTTTCTTTAAAGTAAGTAATTTTTCGTATAGCTCTTTAAAAAACGTTGTGCATTCTAAATTTGAATTACCTAACGTAAAATCGACTAGTCCAAGCATAGAAATAAACGGAGAAAAGTTAGACCTTGTTAATAAAGCAGTCTTCTTGGGAGTGACCTTAGATAGTAAATTTACCATGGCGCAGGTGAAAGGTGTTGGTGGTCACCACTTCGCCATGGTAGTTTGGTGGAGAATGATAGACGAGTCGTGTGTTGGTAAATGACTGTAATTTAATGTGTATATTTTGCTTGAGCTACTTATTTATACTAATTTGGTACGTGTGTCTTATACTCATTCACAAGGCATGGTTGTTACTTTTGCTAGCACTAAGACGTGCCTGAATGTCGGAAGAGGGTTAGACATTCTGGCACGTCTGTGGCTGCTACAGTAAACTTCAATGGTTTCCACATATATCGTCTCTGGCCAGCAGATTAAGCTCCGCTGCATACGCAGTCCGCAGAATACGTGAGCTTACCGATGTTAGTACTGCTAGACTAGTTTACTTTTGTCCTACGGGATTCTCATGTGGGGTAAAGCGGCAGATATTCAAACCATATTTGTATTGCAAAAACGATCGATTCGTTCTGTGTACCGTCTAGGCTCTCGGGTTTCTCTCAGCGAAAAGTTTAAGGAGACTGGTGTCATGACCGTGGCATCACAGTACATTTACTTAAATATTTTATATGCCCGTAAAAATATACATAATTTCAATAAGAATGAAGATTACCATAATATTAACCTTAGAGCTAAGTCCAAACTCATGGTACAACGATTTCCGATACGACGATATAAGGATGAGTTAAAAACTACATTAAAAATATCGATCGAAAACTCATATTACAAAATTGAAGACTACGTGTTAGATAAAGATGTATGGAAAGACGACATGGCTCCAGAATCCACACAGATTTGATTCAAAGTGTATTAAGCCTTAAGCCAATCTTAGCTCTTGATTGCAGTCGTAGGACCCGCGTAGTCTCGTAGCCATAGTAGCACTGACGTCAAACAACGTAGCTCCTTATGCTTGATACGATGTATAATTTCACTTGGCAGCGTCACGGTCGATTTGACGCAGCAGTAGACAGGCCGACACTAGGCTCTCACGGCGCTTAGGGCGAGAGTTCGAAACTTGGGCCAACTTCGACGTCGCTCATTCAGGGCCGCCAACGTTGCACTTCGTCGCAGGACTTCGTCTCCGTGATTGGAGCCTACTAGTCAGAGCACCTCAAGAGCAAGCGGGAATTGGGAAAACAGCACTGAGCACGACTTGTTCGTCCCGTCACTAGATATTATTAAAACAAATTTGCTCGATGCATCCCTAAAGGATGCAGGGGTTTACAAGCTACGAGTATGCTATGCTAATAAGCTATGATGAGTATAAACAGTAATTAAAGTGTGGGCGGGCTTTGGGCGGGCTTCGGGCGTGCGTGCGCGTGCATGCGTCCGTGCGTGCATGTGTGTGCGTGTAAGTATGTGCGCGCGTGTGTTTCAGATATGAACTCTCAGCGTTTCCTCAATATCCTCGTAATATAGTTAGTGTATTGAGCCACTTCTGCACTTTCTGTTTCACTTCCCAAACTGAACACCCCTTTCAGAATACTATGGCACGAACCCTATTGTAAACAAAAGGACCAAGAAAAGAAATGAATATATTTGCAAAGGCAATTCTTCTTATGGGCAGTAAGATTCTAAATTTACGTTTTCGAAGCATAGATGTATAGTTCGGAGAACTTCTGAGACGTGTGTGTTCCCTCAACACCAATCGCAATACGAACACTCCGCAAACACTCAGGACCTCCATGTCTCTGTATACATTTAGAGTCAGCAAGTTGCCTTGAAGCCAATCGGCGACAACTCTCATACCCTGCTCTGCGGTCTCAGCCACCTGACCAGCTCAAAGCAGTTCCCCTAACTCCGACATGCTCCATTTTCCTTAAGAGGATAGGAATGGAAACTGTATCAAATACTTTGGCACGGTCTAGAAAGATGTCCGGGCAGGCCCTACCCTGGTCCAAGCAACTAGAGATCAACTCAGTCATACGCTCAATGCATCCGCAGTCGATCTGTTTGCTCGGAAACCATGTTGGTGTTCCGAAAGTATATTATTCTTTTCCAGAAAACAAAAAACAACGAATAATCCATAACGAATTCTTTCCGGAATCAGAGGATACACCCTGAATCTTTTAGGTCTTCTTCTTTTAATTCTTCGATGAAGTAAGTATAACGCGATAGCTTGTTTATGATGTGAGTCCATGGCGACGTCTGAGACTTAACTGACGATCTCAATCGATCGTAAATAACCGCGCGCCTTGCGATCCTCTCCCGCCAAGTTTGCAGGCCGTTCCGCAACCGCGGCGGCTACGTGAGTGCACAAACCTGCGGTATCGTGAGTGTTGAAACAAAACAGCTGTCCCGCAAAAACAACGGGCGCGGGTCAAAACAGCTTCGTAGTCAATAGATAGATAAGGTCAATTAACATACAAGCGTATTTTGGCGGCAAATAAAAATTTGCTGTAATTCGACTGAAAATCGGCATGTCGGAGTCTCTATGGGTGTTTGATAACAATTTGCGGTCAAAATTTACTTTTTGCCATTTTTGAACATGGCTGCCATACAAACTTTTTTAGCGGTAGATAAAAATTTCTTCTAAAAGACCCATGTTAATTTTTAAAAACAGAGTCATAAGTGCCGAGGCCGTATGCCGAGGTCCAACGGAGGGCGAAGCCCGAAGCGTCCATACGCCATCGTACGTAGGTAGTATACGGAGGCCCTATTACGAGTACAAGATCTCACAATTGTTCAAAATGTAATGTTCAACACTTCCCGATGTAATGGAAATGAGATACTTATAGCGTTGTTGTATCTCGACCGTCTCTCTGTTAGACTCTTTTTTCTTAGAAGCTATACCAAAGAGAAGTATTTAGGTTAAGTATTTAGGGAAAAAAATACCAATCACACCAAATTTCTTTTCTCAAGGGAATATCCGTACTATGAGTACCAGAGTAAC